AGCCGGGGCACGCGGCAGCGCCAAGAAAAGGGGGCAGCGAGCAGAGAATGGCCTCACTCACCATGGCTCACTGACGCAGAGGCGTGGCTGAAGCCCGCCCTTCGCATGAGAAAGATGAGCCCCGGTCTGCGCACACGAGGTAGAGCCGAGCCTGTAGTCAGTGCATACACAACGTATCCGACTCTCGCGGTTCGGGGGCACAAACATGCAAGTACTGACGGAGGCTGATGCAGACTGATCTGCTGGGGGTAGGCCACGGACTGCAGAAGGCTGAACCACTAGGTGCAGGGCCACACCATGGCGAAGCCAGACACCAGGTAACACAGGAGGTATGGCTATCGAACGCACCCGAACTCCACCTGTCACGTAGCCCGCGGAGCTGAGCATGCCTGGCGGTGACCAACTGTAGGCCGTAGCGATTGTAGGCGGCGTGCTGGCCGCTGCCGAGACGTCCTTGTAGCAGCGCCATGATCGGGTCAGCATGGAACCGCGGCGATGCACAGGTGGGGGGGGGGGGGGCGCTGCCTGCTGCTGAGCGCCGGTGTCGCAGGTGGGAGGGGGGGGCCCGCTCCACTGCAGCACCACTGGCGTGCGCTCGCAGGCTGGCAACCAGACGATGCCAGCGCCTCCCCATCGTATCCGGCTCACGCGGTCTGGAGGCTCAACGATGCGATGTCCTGTCGAGGGCTTGGCATGTGGCTGCGTCGATCAGAGCAACAACTTGACCGAAGGCTGAACCACGCGATACGGGTCGCTCATACGGCGAGGGCACTCACCATTGTGCGTGGTGGCGCTCCCACCCATCACCTGCCGCGCTGCCCCTGCGGAGGAAGGGCGCGCCCGGAGCTGGGGCAGGCAGCCCGCCGGTCGCAGCCAGGCCGCAAGGCAGAACCCTTCGCTGTCGGCGCGCTGACCTGCCGGGCTGGGTCGCCTCTGCTGCTCCCCAGGCGGGTCGCAACTTCTACGGGCGATGCAATCTATGCTGTTGAACGCGGGGGGGCGCAGCCGAGAGCCGCAGAGACTGGTGAATGAGAGTAGGGGGGCGCAGCCAGGTGCCGCGGGACACAGATGAACCCTGGGCGTCCGCGCGCTGGCCATCTCGGGGCGGGCGCACCTCTGCGGCCGCGGCAATCTTCGCATGGGGGGGGCGCAGCCGAAAGCCGCAGAGACATTGCGAATGAAGGGGGGAGACGGAGGAGGAGAAGGAGGAGGAGGAGGAGGGGGCGCCGACAAGGCCCAGGGCCCGGGTGACGCGCCCCGGCGAGCGCCCTCGGAGGGGCGCGGGGCGGCCCCGCACAAGCGGCGGTGCAATTGCGGCGAACACGAAGGGGGGCGCGGCCGAAAGCCACAGAGACATTGTCGGGGGGGCGCAGCCGAAAGCCGCAGAAAAATTGCAAATGTGAAAGTATAGGGGGCGCAGCCAATGGCCGCTGAACTCAGATGCGATCCTGCGCGACCATGCGTGGAGCTTCCGCCCCGCAGGGGAATGGGGCCGATCGCGAGCAGAGCGGTACTTGGAGCCCCAACCGCTACCGTTCACTAAGCTATGAAAGAGGTGGAGCACAGGAGGCGGGCTATTTCGGCCACCAGTCGCTGCCGTCCAAATGGGTTGCCCTGGAGGAGTGGCACCGCCGACCCCGTAGCCCATGTTGGCGTGGGACTGAGCGCGGGCAGTGCGACAGATGGTTTCGCACCCCGACCGCTGCCGTTCACTTTGCGAAAAAGGGTGGAGCGCAGTAGGTGGGTTATTTCAGCCGCCCGTCACTGCCGTCTAAAGTGGGCTGCCCTGGGGGGGGCGCACGGGCGCCCCCCGTTCTCGCGTCGGCGGTGGCCTCCACCGAAGGGGGCAGTGGCCGCAGCCCCGCGCAGCAACCGGCCGCGGGGATGGAGGGGCCTGGCAAGGTCCACGTCTCCAGCGTGGGCTGTCTATGTGTGAACTCATTGGCGCCCCCCGCCCCCGCGAGGGTAGCGCGAGCTGGCCGAGGCCGGGTGCTACAAGGTCCACGTGTCCAGCGTGGGCTGTCTAAAAGCGCAGCGCAAAGGTATTGGTGCACCTCCGCCCCATAGGAGGTAGCGCGGGCATTGCGGCATAGGCCGCGCGCTGTGGGTGAAACCGACTGAGGATGGGGGGTCGCGGCGAGTGCCGGTCAGGGAGGAGCGAGGTATTGTGCGCTGCGCGCGGCAGGCAGCACGTAGGTTGGTGGGCCGTGGCGGCGACTGTTGCGGCCCTATTCACGCTGTGGGAGCCGGGCCCGCGCGGGTCCTCGCTGCGCCCCCTTCATCTGGGTCGGGAGTCCCAACCTCGCGGACGCTTGTCAGCGTACGGGTGCTCTCCTCTGGGGGAGCAACGCTTGCCCTTTGCCTTCCAGTCCGTGTCGGTCCATGACGCCCCTTGGTGCCTCCAAGCGTCCCAGGACTGCCATCCATGCCGCGACGAGCCTGAGCTGGATGCCCCGGTCCACTGGTCTGGCGGGGCCGCCCGTTCCGCCCCCTTGCCCGCTGTGGTCCATGGGGGTGGGCAGCCACTGCTATCGGTCCCGCGGGCTGTGCGCGATCTGGCGTCGCGTTGCATGAGTTTGCGGTGCCTCTCCTGGACACTCGACCAGTCAACATGGAGCTTGTGCTCTCTATCCATCTTATAGGCGTCAAATTCCGCTTTGCTCCATGCCTGGAGGAACTCGTTGCACTGTTGTGCGGAGTTGAGCTTGAGATCGAACTTGATGTAAAGGCTCCTTGCCTGGCCGCTGCCCTCTTGACCCAGGCACCCCAGACTCCGTTAAACGCACCTCCCAGCGTCTTCTGCAGCCGTGAGATCTTGTCTGGTGCCGGTTCGTCCCTTGAGACGTCCGCTTTGTCAACTGCACACATGTACATGGGGATGCCTCCCATGGGATCGTCAGGATGTGCTGCGGGCGGTGGCGTTCTCCGCGTGTCGGTCCAGGAGTCCTGGGTGGCGCGCGCTGGTCGGGAGAAGTCTCGTGGGGGCGGGGTGGCAGAGCGTCCTCTCTCCCTGGCTTCCCCAACCGCGGGTGGTTGTCGGCCACCTTCGCCACCCGTGTATCTTAGAAACCTGTTGTCCCGTGCGGCGTACAGACTCTAGGTCCGATCATCCATGCTGCGAGGGTCGCCTGGGGCGTACCTATCTCTGACTGTCCCCCTGGCGGCAGCCTGCTCGTATGGGGACCAGACTTCCGCGTCGGTCCTGTCGGGAAGTTTTGTCCAGAGCTGTGGGGGGTCCTGGGTCACCTTGTCATCCACAAGACCTGTATCACTTGGGTCGTCGTCAGGGTGGGTGGGGCTGACCTGTGAGCTGGAGTCTACGGAGATGTCCTGCGGGCTAGATCGCGCGTGGGCGTCAGTCTCGGATTCCCTGCCCGCTTCTTCACCCCAATCGATTCCTTCCACGTCGCCTTCGCCTATGCAGTGCCCCGGTGGGGTTTGTTCCTCTTCCTGGGTTGCAGAGGACCGGTCGGTCTCAGCGGGCTGAGGAGGTGGCGCGTCGGTGCGGGTCGGGGGTGCTCCGTGGGCCTTCACTCGGCGATCTGCATCGGGAGATTCCTTCTTGCTTGACCTGTTGAGCCAGCTCGCAGCTGGTGATCCAACTCGGTCTGCGCTGCTAGCGGCCGGCTCCAGGGGCAGGGCGGCGAAGTGGTCGATGGTTCCCCTGGTCAAGTCGGAGCCTTCGAGCCTGGCTAGGAATGCCGTGAGGATGTGGAGCGACTGTCGGGAGGGGCCCTGCCCCTTCTGGTTGGAGAGGCTGTCCGCATAGCGGTCCCAATCTTCTTTATATTTCTGGCTACCACCCACCAGGTGTGAGACGACCCTGGCTGCCGCTGCACGTTGTCCGTCCCATGGGACGCATGGGGGGTGGCCGCTCTCTGGGATGTCTTCACCGTACACCTGCTGATGGGGATGCCCGAAGGGGATACCCATGCGTCGAGATGCTACACCTGCTGATGGGGATGCCCGAAGCGTCGAGAATCGTCCTTCAACCGTACCACACGCATGGCCGGCTCGGGAACACCCCTGGGGGGTCTTGCCACGCTTCGGCCCCATCTGCGTATTTCATGCCCCGCCCCCGTGCTCGCAGCAGGTGCTCGTAGCAGGTGCTCGCCGCCAGTGGGGGGGGCTTATGCGGACGAGGGCTGTCGTCTGGCCTCAGCTCCCCTACGAAGACGACGAGGGGGGCCGAACCAGGCTACGAGAGAGCGAGGCGAAGGCCCGACAGCACACGGGCGGGAGGGGCGGGAGGGGCCGACACGAGGGAGTGGAGCAAGGGGCCGAGAGCGGGAGGGCGTACACCCACGTACCACAACGAGCCCTGGGAAAGGAACGAGGGGCTTGGCTGGCCACGGCGAGCCTCGGCCACGAATGGGTTCCCCGACCAGGGCTGGAGCGCAGGCCCGAGAACCCGAGCCCCTCCTGAGCCCAAAAAGGTCCTTCTTCCAGCGGCTCGACTGTAAGATGGGGGGCGTACAGGAGGCGAGCTCGCAAATCACGGCCAGAGGCATGTGCGCGGACGGTGGGGGACCACAGAACGTGCTGAAAGAAGAATAAGAAGACGCCATGACATCCGGGGAGCCATCATGGCTTCGGCCATGATGTCCACCACTGTGTAGCACCCCCCTCCTGGCCGACGGAAGCCAGGGCCGGGCCAAAACCGCACAGGGGCACATCGGGGATCCCTGAAGGCCGCATCGGGCGCCGAAGCCGCTCCAGAGCGCTCCGAGAGAGCGTTCCAGAGCGCTACATGCAGCGATTTATCTTGGTCCTGGGCCGACCCGAGGGCAGGATCCGTTGGCGTCGGATCGGGAAGCCGGGTCGAGTCGGAAGAGCGCATCGGATCGGGCCGAATCGTCGAGGAGTCGGAATCGGATCTTATCGGCCGCGTCAGGATGCACAATGGCGCCATGCACGCATCGGTCGGATTGTCGAAATCGAACCAGATCGAGCGGGCCGAAATCGATATCGAATATGATCGGTCAGTTCGAAGCTCGAAGCGGGCCCTGGAGGGCGAGAAGGACGAGTAGCAGGACGCGCAAGACCATGAGGACTGGAGCTGTCAGCATCAATGTTTCTGTTGCAACCATTGACTTGCCAACATCCGAACAATGGAAGGCGTTCGCAGACAAGCAGAAGCTGCTGTACATGCACGACGGAGGCTGCCGCACAGAGACGCTAGCAATCGCTAGCACCTGCCCAGATTCGCGCGCCAATGCTGTTGAAAAGCAAAAGACAGGATGACAACGACGAAGGCACCGACGGAGATTCAGCTTCAAATGCACAAGAACAACATATTCACCGCCACCACCACCGAAGGGCCAGCTGAGGCCTGGCGTGGGCCCACCATTTGTGTAGATGTCCTTCTGGGGTTGCCCAGGAGAGCATGTGCTGGGCCCGAAGTCCAAAGAACGCCGGAGCTGGCCAGGGGGTGGTGGTGTACATCCAGCCCGTGTGGAAGCTAGCGCGTGCGATTCGAGGACGTTTCGATGGCCTGTGGCGTGTTTCGTGCACGCCTGCTGCGCTAGGCAGCGATTCGGCGCGCCGGAAACGAGTACGGAAAAAGTGTGGACAATATCCAGAAGCAAATGCTGCGCAAAACCGACAGCGGCCGTAGTTGGGCAAGCAACTCTTGGCCCCAAAAAGACAACGTCCCGCGGCAACACCGACAGCGAGTCCCGTTAAACATGGAGAAGGGTGCCAATTTTCGTGCCCGTTGCTTCCGTCACTATTTTGATGTCCCGAGAGATTGGAGGAACAAAAATCCGCCGACCCTGTCGGCGTGTGTGAGGGGCTTTTCCGTTCGAGCCGTCATCTCCGTCATTCTTTGTAATCGTCGTCTCTGTCGTTCCCTTTCCCTGGTACCCCTCTTCCCCTGGGCTCCTCCCCGCTCCCCTCGCCCTTTCCCAGGGCCTCCTCCTCAAGCGCGCTAGCCAAACCGACCTTCAGCAACGTCGTAATTGATTCGAAGGGAAGCCCCTTCCCTTTAATCTCTCCCCCGCCGGGAGGGGGAGGGAGGGTCTTTCCCAGGGCCTCCTCCTCAAGCGCGCCAGCCAAACCGACCTTGAGCAACGTCGTAATTGAGTCGAAGGGAAGCCCATTCCCTTTCCCTTCCCCGACGGGGGGGGGAGGGGGGGTCCCGGGGGGGGTCCCGGGGGAGTCCTGGGGAAGTCCCGGGTCAGATACGACGCCCCCCCCGTAAGTACTCCACGTAAGGATTCTTTCTTGTTTCAGGCCGCGCCCGAGCCGCCCGAGCCGCCCCCGAGCCGCGCCCGAGGAGGAGAGCGCCTCAGAGAGCCCCCCTCTGTTCCCCCTGTCCACACGGGGGGGAGCCCCCCCTTTCCTCCCCCTGTCCTTCCTGTCCACAGGAAGAGAGCGCCCCGCGCCCCGCGCCTTTCCCCCCTCTCCCCCGTCCCCCCTCTGTTCCCCCTGTCCACAGCCCCCTCTGTTCCCCCTGTCCACACGGGGGGGAGCCTTCCCTTTCCTCCCCCTGTCCTTCCTTTCCACAGGAAGAGAGCGCCCCGCGCCCCGCGCCTTTCCCCCCTCTCCCCCGTACCTTCGGATTTCCAGCTTCACATCCTTCCAAGGATCCTGCAACTCCTCCTCTCTTCTCCTTCTCAGCCTCCTCCTCCTTCTAGTCATCCTCCTCCTCCTCCTTCTCCTCCTCCTCCTCCTCCTCCTCCTCCTCCTCTACCCCGGAACCCGAGAGCCTGACAACTCTGGACCCCACCCCCTGATTCCAGGACCCGGCCCCAGGACCTTCTCTTCCTTTTCACCAGGACCCGAACCCCAAGCCCCAGGGCGCGCTAGCCAAACCGACCTTGAGCAACGTCGTAATTGATTCGAAGGGAAGCCCCTTCCCTTTAATCCCTCCCCCGCCGGGAGGGGGAGGGGAGATCTTTCCCAGAGCCTCCTCCTCAAGCGCGCCAGCCAAACCGACCTTGAGCAACGTCGTAATTGAGTCGAAGGGAAGCCCCTTCCCTTTCCCTTCCCCGACGGGGGGGGGAGGGGGGTCCCGGGGGGGGGCCCGGGGGAGTCCCGCGGAAGTCCCGGGTCAGATACGACGCCCCCCCCGTAAGTACTCCACGTCAGGATTCTTCCTTGTTTCACGCCGCGCCCGAGCCGCCCGAGCCGCCCCCGAGCCGCGCCCGAGGAGGAGAGCGCGTCAGAGAGCCCCCCTCTGTTCCCTCTGTCCACACGGGGGGGAGCCACCCCTTTCCTCCCCCTCTCCTTCCTGTCCACAGGAAGAGAGCGCCCCGCGCCCCGCGCCTTTCCCCCCCCTCCCCGTCCCCCCTCTGTTCCCCCTGTCCACAGCCCCCTCTGTTCCCCCTGTCCACACGGGGGGGAGCCCCCCCTTTCCTCCCCCTCTTCCCGGGGCTCTCCCAGTCGTCCAACAGACCCACTATGGCTTCCAAGACGCACCTGGGAGGCCACCGAGGTCGCCAAGATGGCCCAAGATGCCTCCAAGACGGCCTCCAAAGTTCCGGTGAAGTCCCAAGAGCGCTTGAAAAGGACCCCAAAGATAGCCTCAAGACGGCAGCAGCAGACGGAACACCACCACCAGCAACACCGTCACCATCGCCAGGAACGACCGAACCACCAGCAGCACCCGCGACACCAGCAGCAAGAGAACCACCAAGACCATCATCATGGCCAACAGCAACGGCAGGAAGAAAACGACCACCAGCAAAAGTACACCTCCCTCCCCCACCTTCTCGTCCTTCTCCCCTCTCCCCAAAACCATCCCACAGCCCGTGCCTCTTGCTGCGCATTGCGAACAGGGTCGGCGGCACCGGCCGTAAGGCCTTCGCAATCTACATGGTGCAGCATTTTCTTCTTCGGGCAATGATGACACATGATCTCCTGGAGGGGGCGAAACCCAAATCGATGGATGATCCTCAGACCGCGTGCTAGCGTCAACTTGTGTTTCTCCACCAAAGCCCTTCGATACGACGCAGGTAACGCAATGAGGGCCGACACACGCTGCGTGCGGTCGGTCCAGCTGAACGGGGAGCACACACGTCGGGCTAACACATATTTTGAAGTCGCGGCCCCGCACGCAGCGTCGAGGCGCAGAAGTCGGACAACGACACGCGCGCGCAGCCAGCCCAGGTCACGCGGCGCCGGGATGGGGATCCGCCCATGGGGGATCAACCGAGTCGCTCGCAGCAGGAGGGCACGAAGGGTGGGGGAAAGACGCGGTGCGGCGAGACGAAGAGGACAGTGCGCAGCACCAACGGCGGTGCCGCGGTGGGAGGGGAGAGACGAAGCCAGTGAGGGCCATTGGGCCTACACACGTCCTGAGGATCAGCGGTCAGACCTCAGTCGCCTGGGCCCCCTGCAGAGGAAGCCTGGGCCGTGGTCGGCCCACTCTGCGACAACGGGGTGCGCCCCCCCCCTCCCCCCCCCCCACTGCACGGCGGCCGAGCGACGCCAGTCCTCCCCCCGCGGCCAAGCCCCCCCTCCTGCTGAAACTGTAGGCTTCCAGGCGACCTGCTGAGCCCCTTCCGGGCGCGCAGGCCTCAGCAGCGGGCCAGGGGATAGCAGGGTCGAGCAGCCGAGCCAGCACAGGCCTCGTGCGAAGGATGCGTGATGCCTGCGCTACATGCTGTGGGTCCTGTCCGCCGTGCCCCTCGCAGGCGTGGTCGGTCCGTTTCCATCTCGCCCCGCTCACGTTCGCCCTTATCGCATCGTCTGCCTGCTCTGGTGGAGCTAGAACGCCCACGTTTGTATGTTTTGCGTCGCGGCCGTGAACGAAGCGACACGGCGGAGTCAGGCTAACAAAAAAATGGGCGGAACCACGATGGTGAGCGCGTGCCGTGCACCTGGCAGCCACGGCGAGGTGCGCAGGGGCTCACCCACAGGGGGGCTCACCGATAGGGAGACACGCCACAGCAGGTTCGCGTTCTGACGACCCTGGCGTCGGTTGCTGACACCTCGTGGATCCTTCGACCTTGAACGGTCGGCGGTTCTTCTTTCGCTGACTCGTTCCACATTGGCCGCTTCTGGGCCACTGGCGGCGTTCAACCTTGAACGAAACCCCGCGGCGGGGTCCCTGCGGCGTCGGCACGACACGAATCTGCCCTACCGCACGCGGGGGGCAAAAGAAACCGTACATCACGGCAGACCGCACTAGCGGTTTGTGAGACTTGTCGGGTTGTCATGCAGTCGTTGTTGCTGGTCTGTCCTGCATGTTTCCCGCCGCCGAAAGGGGCGAAAACGAACCTTCGCGGCCCTAAGCTAGCTCCAAAATGGCTCCACGGGAGGCCCGACACACGGCTCCAATGGAAGCCTGAGATCGCCCCAACGCCGTCACGACGCGGACACCGCACGACGGCGGGGGACACGAGGCCACCGCCTCTCGAACACTTGGGCAAACGGCACCGATCCTCGTGACAACACAATGCTCGCGACTACACGCAAGCGGCGACCGCGTGCCAGTCCTCGTGGCCACCCAGGCAAATGGCAACAACGATACAAGATACAGGATGGGCCGGGCGGAACGCGCGGCCTCTCACGTGCTTCCGCGCGGCACGACCGCGATCAGCCTGGCAGGATTGTCCTCGTCGCGGCCGCAGTTCCTGCGGCGGGCGGGGGGCGCGCTCAGAGGCTGGCCTCCTATTGCTCACCTAAGAATGCCCTCGCGCTTCACGCTGCGAGATTATCTTCGCGCCCTCGCGCGACAGATCAGCAGAAAGGCGCCTCTCCGACCCAGACCGTGAAGCGCGGCTATCTACGCTCCTGCGGGTGACCTCGGTACCGACGCCACTGCTGGAGTCCTCCCGAATGGGGCTGGAGTGAGCTCGGCGGGAAGTGAGGGAGGCCGAGGCCTTCTCAGAGGACGGCGAGACTTCACGGCGGGCCTCTGGCCTCCTGAGAGGCTCTCTGGGCAACTGTCCCCACCACCATTGTACCCTCCACTGTCCCACTGTTTCCACCTCATTCCCACTGTCCCCACACCACTGTCCCCACCACCACCGTTCCCACCACTGTCCACTGTCCCCCCTGTTCCCACCATTGTCCCCACCACTGTCCCCACCACTACCGTCCCCACCACTGTCCCACTGTCCCCCCACTGTCCCCACCACTGTCCCGCTGTCCCCTCACCACTGTCCCCACCAACACCGTCCCCACCACTGTCCGCACCCCCACTCGGTTTTCGGGGGGGGGGGGGGGTTCGAACCGGTAGTGACCCCCCCCCCTTTTCATGATGAGCTGGGGGGGGGGGAGGGGTTCGAACCGGTAGTGACCCCCCCCGGTTTTCCGAAGGGGGGGGGGAGGGGTTCGAACCGGTAGTGACCCCCCCTGGTTTTCCGCCAGCAGCGGTAGAACACGCTCTTTCAAACTTAAGGAACGACCGAGCCCCTTTTGAGAAGGAAGTGTTCCTTACTCAAGCCGCTCACTGCACAGCGCTTCGTGGCCCCATCGGGAGCCCCACTCGAGGCCTCAGTGGGGGTGGCCACGTGCGCCCGCCACACCCCGCGCAGCGCTCCGTGGCCCCATAGGGAGCCCCACGCAAGGCCTCCATGGGGGTGGCCACATGCGCCCGCCACACCCAGTGCAGCGCTCCGTGGCCCCATAGGGAGCCCCACTCGAGGCCTCCATGGGGGTGGCCACGTGCGCCCGCCACACCCCGGGGGCGGGCGGCTCTCCTCAGCGAGTACTCCCTGCCAGCGGGGATCAGCGCCTGGGCGCGGCGGCGCGGCGGGGCCGGTTCTCGGCCGAGCGGAGCAGGGAGAGCGACCGACGGGAGGTTCGAGAGGCGGCGGAGGAGGAGGAGGGGGAGGAGGAGGAGGAGGAGGAGGAGGAGGAGGAGGAGGAGGAGGAGGAGGAGGAGGAGGAGGAGGAGGAGGAGGAGGGGAGGAGGAGGAGGGGGAGGAGGAGGAGGGGGAGGAGGAGGAGGAGGAGGAGGAGGAGGAGGAGGAGGGGGGGGGAGGAGATGATTTTCTCTCTCACAGGGACAGCCAGGATGGAAAGCCCATGCTGGGAGGACCAGAAGCTACCTCTCTCACGCCATCTGCAAAACATCGCTGACGGACCCTGTCGGTGTTAGCGATGCCCCTGTTGATGAGGTTCCGCAGGGACGGGTTCTCGAGCGCGGCGGTTACCCTCTCCTTGTCACCGAGCTGCTTGTTGACCTGGTCTTCCTGGTTTTGCGAGCCCAGCGTGATCTCCACGTCGATATTGTACCTTCGTGGAAGCGATCTCTGCCGCTTCGCCTTGATGGTGAGGCCGATGAGCGTTGCCACGCTGCACGTCGGCACAGTAGGAGTGAAGCGCACGCCTCCACCTTCAGCTGCTCCAGCGTGAGGTCCGGGTGTTCTGGGTCCGACAAACACCGCAGGCTCCAGTACACTTCCTGAGCAGTGGTCGCATCCACGTCTGCGTCCGTGGACACGTCGTCTGGCTCAAGAAGGTCCCCCAAGGACCTGTGCCTCAGAGAGTCGGCTGCCTCGTACGAACACGACAAGGTTCGGGTCGTCCCCCGCGACCATGGGAAAGGCCGGTGCCCCCCAGGGTCCTCTGCGGGCTCTGGCCTGGAAGGGCAAGACGAGCGAGCGGGCCCTGGGCCAAAAAGGCTACGGAGGAGGAGCGAAGCGGAGCGGGCCGCGCACCGTCGGTCCGGCGGACTGGCCCTACGAGGGCAACGCAGGCGGGCTGGGACCCGAGCCAGGAGCCAGTGGTGGGAGCCAGAGTTGGACAGATGGGGCGGGGAGTCGGATGGGAGTCGGGAGGGGGAGGGGGAGGGGGAGGGGGAGGGGGGAGGGGGAGGGGGAGGGGAGGAGGAGGAGGAGGAGGAGGGAGGAGGAGAGGAAGGGAGGAGGAGGAGGAGGAGGAGGAGGAGGAGGAGGAGGAGGAGGAGGAGGAGCAGAGAGAGGGTGTGCGGAGCTGAGGGGGACGCGCCCACCAGGCGGTGGTGGCGCACACAGGAAAGGCGCGCCGCGGAGCGGCCAGGCGAGGAGAGAGGGGCGCCCACTCTGCAGGTCGAGCCATCGGCATGAAAGAGGAGGAGTGCAGGGAGGAGAGGAGGGCGCAAGAGCCCTCTCGTGTTCCATGTTTCTCTCTTGTACCCCAGGTGGCGCTTACCGCGCCCCAAGCCCAGTTCGGCATAGCGGCCAGACTGCTGCTCTCAGCAGCGGAGGGACCCGAATCCAGAGGAACGACATTCTCGCTTGATTCCGTTGTCGACGAAGTATCTTCCCAGAGAGAAGATCAGGGCCCAGAATATTCGCCGACCCTGTCGGCGTGTGTGAAGGGTTTCTCCATTCGAGTCGAGTTCCGTTCAATGATTCAATCCTGTCAGCGAGAGAAACACCTAGCAATGGCGTAATCGAATCGAAGGGAAGCCCCTTCCCTTTGATCCCTCCCCTGTCGGAGGGGGGGTCAGATACGCATCCCCCCCTGGGGGTCCCCCGGGGATGGGGGGGTCGCGACGGGGTTGGGGGGTGGTGGGGGGGGGGGGGGCGTCTTCCGCCTCCTCCTCATGCGGCTCCTCCTCCTCTTCCTCCTCCTCCTCCTCCTCCTCGTCCTCCTACCTCGTCGCGGTCAGCATCGTCGTCTTCAGGGTCGGCGGCACTGGCCGTAAGGCCTTCGCAATAAATATCAAGATGGAGGCTCGGCCTCTATTCTTTTTCATTCAACACACCAGGCAGCCCCATGCCAAAGGTAGTTATCTTGACAATTCGATTGGAGTTTTCTCCTCCTCAATTCTGGACTCTGGGGGGCTGCGGCTGCGCTCATCGAGAGTAGTGGGAGTCTGGGCTGTGCAGCTGCAGCTCATCTCAGGCTCCTCGCATGCGCAACCTCGGCGGGGCTTTCGCTCGTGGGGGTGAAGGCGGGGTTGGGGGAAACGGGGGGGAGAAAGGAGGGGGGAGCGAAACTCTCCTCGGCACCCAGCACGGAGATGTCCGTGGGGTCAGGCAGCGTATTGATGCCTCGACAAAACTGTGGGGCCACTGAAGGATGGAGGATGACCCAGACGATCATTATCCTGACAAGGACCCAACCATATGCGGTTGTGAGTACCTCATGGGATACCTCTTTCGGTGGAGCTCCCTGTGGGACCACGAAACATGTTAGGGGTGCGCCGACATGGGGCGGGGCCGCCATGCGAACCCTGCGACTGGGGTCTTCAATGGAGCTCCCTGTAGGGCCACGAAGCGTGCGAAGGGTGTGCCGAACTGGGGCGGCCGCCATACGAACCCTGCAACTTCGGTGGCGCTCCCTATGGGGCCACGAAGAGTGTGAGGAGTGTGCCGAATCGTGTGCGGGGCCGCCATGCGGACCCTGCCACTGTGGCCTTCGGTAGAGCTCCTCATGGGGCCACGAAGCGTGCGAGGGGTGTGGCGAAATAGGTCGGGGTCGCCATGAGAACCCTGCCACAAAGGCATTCGGTGGAGCTCCCCGTGGGGCCGTGAAACGTGTGACGGGTGTGCCGAAATGCTGCGCTGGCCGCCATGCGAACCCTGCCACTGTGGCCTTCGGTGAAGCTCCTTATGAGGCCACAAGCGTGTGAGGGGTATGCCGAAAGGCGGGGCCGCCATGCGAACGAACCCTACAACTGGGGCCTTTTGATTGAGCTCCCTATGGGGCCACGAAACGTGTGACGGGTATACCGAAATGGACGTGCAAAGGCCAGAGGCAGGGATGGTGAGGAAGGAGGAGAGGAGGAGAGGAGGAGAGGAGAGGAGGAGCGGGAACGCGGGGCGCTGCTGACTCAAAACGAAGACCCAAGATCACAGGATGGCTGGGGCAGAAACACGATGGAGGCTCGACCTCTATTGTGTAAGCGTTTTCTGCGCTCCATTCTGGATCTGTTGCTCACGTGCTCCTGTGGAGGCTCGGCCTCCGACCCGCCCTCTCCGAGCTCTCTCTCCGGGGCGGCGGCGACGCCTCGTCTCCTCTTGTGAGGCGCCGGGGCGCGTCGTCGCCGCGAATTTCCAGCTCGACCTGACGGCGCGGCAGGGCAAGGGGGCCTGCGGGCCGGGGGCTGGCGGCCAGGTGAGCGACGAAAAGAACTCGCCATCGCTCGGACGTCCATTTCCTGTGTTTTTTTCGGTTTCGTGCGTGGTTATTTTCGCCACATGATCAAGGATGCTCCTCGATGGTCCTCGCCGAGAGAAAAAATGCACACGTCCGAGCGATGCCAGGAGAAACGGGCCTTACGCGGCACAGCGACCTCACGCCGCGGATTGCGCGAGCCGACAGCGTGGCACACCGCGCGAAAGAAGGGGCGCTGGCATTCGGCCTCACGCGGGAAGCTCACGCGCGACTGTCCGCGCAGTCGACTCGGTTTCCTTCCGCTGCTCAGGTGGTAGAGGTCAGCGGGCGAACGTCAGCCAAGGGCAGGGCAGAGGCGCTCTGGCTGTCCGAAACACTGCGCCGTCGGGATGCGACGATCACAACTGCCGAAGGTACGGTTGCCTGGCCCCCACGCGCCTCGGGAAATTAACCATGGGGATGAGTGGAGAGAACATAGCATACACATAAACTGTCGAAGATCTGCGCGGTGTTCTTGGAACTGCGCTGAAACCCCTTCCTGGCGCGCAGAGCGCGCCAAGGGCGGCACCGGAGGCGCCGCCCAAGGGGGGGGGCACCGCAGATCCAAAAGATCTGCGCGGGCCTCCAACAGTGTGTGTTTGTCAATCACGCTCTTGGAAAAAAGCAAGCAGAAACCGCTCCAGAGTCATCGTTAACACAGAAAGGCATCTATGCTTGTAGGTGGCGGCGCCCTCCAAGCGAGACCGCTAGCACATAACATTGCACTAAGCAAATCGCACTAAACAGCCTTCCACAAGGGTCCGGCAGTACCCCCCCTGGCCCTGATCACCACCTCCGCCACTACAATTACTGCTATTGCTACAGCTACCACTACGACTACGACTACGACTACGACTACGACTACGACTACGACTACGACTACGACTACTACTACTACTACTACTACTACTACTACTACTACTACTACTACTACTGCTACTACTACTGCTACCTACTACTACTACTTACTACTTACTACTACTACTACTACTACTACTACTACTACTACTACTACTACTACTACTTACTACTACTACTTACTACTACTACTACTACTACTACTACTACTACTACTACTACTACTACTACTACTACTACTACTACTA